TATCAAATAATCACAGTCCGGTTGATTTGGTAATGCATTGTTTATTCGATATTCTCCAAGGTGCAACTATCACAGTGGCCCTGCTAAGGCGTTTAATAAATGCTAAGTGTTTGACAAAGATGCAAGGGTATCCCACTGAATTACATATTCAGTAAAATAGGACGACAATCCCAACAGTGTCTCTCAAGTGTTGTGTTAATACCTCGTCCACACTAGTATGCCTGGTGTAACAAGCATTCATGTGTGGAATGTAGGCAACAAGCATACATGTGTGGGAATGTAGGTAACAATGCATACTAGTGTGGAATGTAGGCAACAAGCATACATGTGTGGGAATGTAGGTAACAAGCATACTAGTGTGGGAATGTAGGCAACAAGCATACATGTGTGGGAATGTAGGTAACAAGCATACTAGTGTGGGAATGTAGGTAACAAGCATACTAGTTTGGAAATGTAAGTAACAAGCATACTAGTGTGGGAATGTAGGTAACAAGCATACTAGTGTGGGAATGCAGATAATGCTGTGTTGTCTTATAGACTCTTATCCTCCCCAGTCTTACTGGTAGCATCCCCTCAGGGAAGTTGCCTTGATGCCGGAGACTCTTGATTCAGAAACTGGACTTAACCTCCCTATCATTGGAGAGATCTAAATGCCTCCCATTCCTAAGCTCAATGTGTCCTCATTGCCTTCAGTGTTAACTCCATGATTAAAGTAACTTAAGAAGCATCGTGCCTGCTAGACCATTCTGCAAGATAACACAAGCATGCTAGGGGACTCATTCTGCAAGATAACACAAGCATGCTAGGGGACTCATTCTGCAAGATAACACAAGCATGTCAGGAGACTCATTCTAGGAGGTAACACAAGCATGCCACGGGAGTCATTCTACAACACAAGCATGATAGGGGACTCATTCTACAAGATAACACAAGCATGCCAGGGGACTCATTTTGCAAGATAACACAAGCATGCCAGGGGACTCATTCTGCAAGATAACACAGGCATGTCAGGGGACTCATTTTACAAGATAACACAAGCATGCCATAGGACTCATTCTACAAGATAACACAAGCATGATTACACGGAGACAAGCGTGCCTCGCGCTCCATGACACAAGATAACACCGTAACACGAGCGTGTCAGGTGGTTCATGGCACAAGATAACATGGTAACACAAGCATGTCTGGTGGTTCATGGCACAAGATAACACCGGGACATAAGCGTGCCTCGTGACTTACGGTAATCATAAAAATAAGAATGCTCGGTGTTGGAAGAGAAAAATATTCGTCTTCAGATGGTGATTCCCAAACTCAGTGACGTATATATGAGAGCAGGTGATGGCGAGTCAAGCACTGGAACCTAGAAGCACAGCCAGGAAGGTGAGTGTCTCAGTGGTGAGTTAAGCACTGGAACCTAGAAGCACAGCCAGGAAGGTCTCTCAGTGTTGGGTCAAGGACAGGAACCTAGAAGCACAGCCAGCAAGGTGAGTGTCTCAGTGGTGAGTTAAGCACTGGAACCTAGAAGCACAGCCAGGAAGGTGAGTGTCTCAGTGGTGAGTCAAGCACTGGAACCTAGAAGCACAGCCAGGAAGGTGTCTCAGTGGTGGGTCAAGAACAGGAACCTAGAAGCACAGCCAGGAAGGTGAGTGTCTCAGTGGTGAGTCAAGCACTGGAACCTAGAAGCACAGCCAGCAAGGCGAGTGTCTCAGTGGTGAGTTAAGCACTGGAACCTAGAAGCACAGCCAGAAAGGTGAGTGTCTCAGTAGTGGGTCAAGGACAGGAACCTAGAAACACAGCCAGGAAGGTGAGTGTCCCAGTGGTGGGTCAAGGACAGGAACCTAGAAACACAGCTAGGAAGGTGAGTGTCTCAGTGGTGGGTCAAGGACAGGAACCTAGAAACACAGCCAGGAAGGTGAGTGTCTCAGTGGTGGGTCAAGGACAGGAACCTAGAAACACAGCCAGGAAGGTGAGTGTCTCAGTGGTGGGTCAAGGACAGGAACCTAGAAACACAGCCAGGAAGGTGAGTGACTGAAATGTTAGAAGGAAGAAGTAATTGTCATTTTCTCATTATCAAGTTAATCTCACTAATGTTCTTCATTATTCACATCTACGTCCCGGATGGTTTAGCTCCTAGAATGGTTTGTCACAGGTCCTACACTGTCTTTTACCCCCTAGGAAGTTTATTATACCTTGAATGGTTTAGTGTAATTCCTGTACACCTTGGTATACCTTGGATAGTTTACATAGCTGTTACACCCCTTGTGTACTTGGGATAGTTTGTTAGTTTAAAACACTGGATGTTAGTTTAAACCACTGGTTGTTAGTTTAAAACATTGGTTGTTAGTTTAAAACACTGGTTGTTAGTTTAAAACACTGGTTGTTAGTTTAAAATACTGGTTGTTAGTTTAAAACACTGGTTGTTAGTTTAAAACACTGGTTGTTAGTTTAAAACACTGGTTGTTAGTTTAAAACACTGGTTGTTAGTTTAAAACACTGGTTGTTAGTTTAAAACACTGGTTGGAGTGTTTTGTGCCTGGTAAACTGGATCTTAACCTGGCAACATATATAAATAATAGCTCAACACTTTATACTGCCCCTTTCCTTATACTGTGTTCATCCTTATCTCATTCCCTTTCTTGTCCTATTTTTGTCCTACCCTCTTCCTTGTCCCTTCATCCTCTCCCCCACTTCTCACCCTCCATAAGACTCCCTTTTTAACAGATGAGGACTTGCTTTCTGCTACTGACGGGGACACTGCTGGCAGCCGCCGCCACCACACAAAAGCCACCAACGCTGTGCCCGGAGGAGGTCTCTGCCCTATGCCCACCGGAGCTCGGGGAATTTCCTGAGCTCTACGCTTTTCCCGATGATTGTTCCAAGTTCTGCAAGTGCTCCTATGATGGTCTGGCCTGGGAGAAACAATGCCCCGGCACCCTTCTCTGGGACGATGACCTGAAAACCTGCAATTATCCAGAAAATGTAAGGGAAATACCTGTAACTCTCCACTCAACGTAAACACGATACCCTGAACACCTGTAACTACCAACATAATGTAAGCACGATACCCTGAACACCTTTAACTACCAACATAATGTAAACACGATACCCTGAAAACCTGCAACTACCCATACAGTGTAAACACGATACTCTGAACACCTGCACGGCGACTGTTAAAGTTGGAAGTAAGAAAGACAGTTTTAGCAGACCAGTTAGTGTGACTTTGTAAATGGTCCAAGTCGGACCGAAACGTCGCCGTAAGCTCCTCTCTTCTATGTGCGGGTTATTTGTGTAACCCCCTTACAGGCTTAGCGTTTTCCCCGATTAAAAGAAACGAAAAAGAATCCATTGAAGAATAAAAAACATCAACACCGAGGATGAACAGACAACCCACAAATTGAAGAGCAAAGTAAAGAAGACTTTTCGATCGATCTTGGGTCATCATCACGTGACTACTGAAATTTGATACATCTAATTGACTCTCAGGATTTACCAGCTCTTACAGTGATTCAAAAAATATTAGTATAAGCACATAAAAAAAATTAAAAATCTGACCCTGATGTTATCTTGAAAAAAAAGAGGCTATTTCTCTCTTTCATAAAAATTTTTTCTGTAATTAACGATATGACGTAAACAAGATCTTGCAGACCTGGATACAGCAGAGTAATGAACAAGACACAATTATGGAACAAACTTTTATTATGAGGGATAACGTTGTCCCATAAAACTCTTGCTCTTGAGAAAGTCAACATTAAGATTAACAAAATGTTGAAAAAAATATTTTTGAAAGCGTACTACAACAATAGTGAGGAACATATGTGTTACAGAACAAACTTTAAAGATGGGACAAAATTTCGCTCTGTGTAGAGCTTTGTCAAATCTCATCTTGACAAAACTCTATACACAGAGAGAAATGTCGTCCTCAGTCAATTAATTATACAGCTGTCAGTCAGGTCCTGATCCCTTAGACGGCAGGCCTATCAGTGTATGTTGATGATACAGTATCAGTATAGCCCTGTACTCAAGATTTTCTCCCTAGACTCAGCAAGTTGGAAGACTCGAATAAATTCACTGATGAAAATAAACTCGTTGCCGATCTCTTACATTTAAGTACACAAGTGGATTTTATGACTTTACACTTGATTGGGTTAAATTTCAGTAACCTTTTCTTTAACCATTATTTCAGTTTGTCTAAGCTTACTCTTAGCCTGTATCTTCATTCATTTGTATTCTTCCCATTGTTTTAAGTTATCAGGAAACAAAGAAACATATAATTATGTCTCCTTTAGTACGTCATTTACGTTTGATACGAATAATAAAGGTCATAGACTGATCCTTGGGAACCCCACTTCTTACACTTTCCCAATATAAAGCAACTGACCATACCATCACACTCTGTCTACTGTTTGTTACGTACTTCTTGATCCTCTGTAGGACTTCACACATTCCACTAACTGGCGAGTCATATGCTTTCCTAAAATCCAAAAATATGCAGTCTACCCATCCTTATCTTCGTCCTTGATTTCTATTATTTTGTTGTAAAAGTCCAGTAGGTTAGTGAAGCAAGATATACCTCCTCGAAATCCATGCTGATACTCTGTAAAAAAAAAAATTCCACCCTTCTAGATGCTTCACCAATCTTTTACAATACTGTGGGTAGTATATATATCAGTGACAGTGGCCTATAATTCCCTGCCTCTTGTCTGTCATCCTGTTTCTATAGTGCTGTATATTGCTGTGTTTCAGTTGTCTGGAAGGTTTCCCGTTCTCCGGGGACACGTTGTAGATCGTTGCTATGGGTTCACACACTTCTTCCAGTCTTTACAGTACCCATGATGATATTCCATCAGGTCTCATGGCATTTAATGTGTAACTCTTTTAGTAGCTTCATCAGTTCCTCTTTTGGTATATGAATGATATCTAGTATATACTGATTAACCCTTACAACCCTGCATTCTGGCAACATTCTTTTTCTTCAGTGAATATCTTCTTAAATCAACTGTTTAATTCCTTGTAAACGTCTGTATTTCTTCCGTGAGTAACCAACCATCATACGTGACTGTGTAACATTGTCTCCATTTATTTGACGTTTGCTGCTGTATCATTCTCAAACTGATGATCTGCTTCTTTTTGTATCTTTGCATGGTCATTCCTCGCTAGTCTGTTTGCCTCCTCATTCTCTTTCATCCTCTGCATTGTTATTTTTCCACAGTCGTTTGCACCTTCCCTTGATCTCTTTGCAGCTCTGATTAATCCTGCGGCTCTTTCAGTATCTTGCCTTCTCACACTTGTTAGGTACAAAGTTCACTGTTGAATCCAGGCACTTTCTGGTGAGGTCATCCAACATCTCGTCGGCTGTTCTTTCAATCCCATGTCCCACTGTATTCCATTTAGAAAATCTCTCATGTCTGCATAGTCCCATCTTCTGTAATTTGGTTTACTATTTGTCCCTCCTCTGTTCTCCGCTTCTGTTTCTACAAAGTTTTTAAATTTGAGTAGCATGTGATTGCTTCCTCCTGTTGGTAGCCCATAACTTATTAAATCTATGTCAGATCCACTTATAGGAACTTTTGAATCAAGTGAGAGAGTAACAAAGCGTCTATACTGTGAGAACAACTAATGAAAGTAATTTTTTTATTTTTTACACTTTTATGGAAAATGGATATGCGAAAAACTTTGTTTTTTTTGTGGAACGTACTAACAAAATGTTATATTTCTCTTAACATTGATAATATTTACAGCTGATGAGAAAGACGAGGCTCTTGTTGACAATATTTACAGCTGAAAGAAAGACGAGGCTCTTGTTTACAATATGACACTTGAGCTTAATATAACTAGATTGACTGGTGTTGCTGTTAACCTTGTGTTTGTATCTCTCAGGTGGACTGTGGCACGCGACCTGTTCCATAAGAAGGGTTTCCATCGTCCTCCTCCACACTCCAGCAGACTAAACCTTCACTCTCTAACAACCTTCACTACTGATACCAGCTTTCATTTCTCAGTACATATTTAGCATAATTTATTTGCTTTGGTAAATGATTTATATTAAACTATGTTGGTTTATGAGTAGGAACAGCTCTCAGTTATGTGAAGAGTGATCGTGTTTACAAAAACCTTTATTTTCACTCTGTATGATAATAAAGTTTCCCCCCTGACAATATTTTTGTTATTCCAAAAACTCAATGAAAATTAAATAAAATCCTTTTGCTAAATTTCACGCTTTCACGCTAAATCTCCCACTTACGAAAAAAAATAATTATAATTATATATATATATATATATATATATATATATAATATATATATATATATATATATATATATATATATACGTGCCGAATATGTAAAACTGGTCAATTAGCAAAAACTCATTTAAAATTAAGTTCTTTCTGAAATTTTCTCTTATACGTTTAAAGATATAGTTTTTTCATTAATGTTAATACAAAAAATTTTTAATTTTACACCAAAAGAATCTTAGAAAACTTACCTAACCTTATTATAACAAGCGCAATTTATTTTAGCCTAACCCAACTAAATATATTTTAAATACGTTTACAATAATTTAGTACTAAACAAACACAATCAAATATATTTTTTCGTAAGGTTCAGAATGATTTTGGCGAAATTATTGCACACACAAATTTTCACTTGTCCTATATGGCAAGATGAGCGTTGCTATTTAAGCCAAGATGGCAAGTTCTGCCTATTCGGCACGACATATATATATTTTATATAATTATATATATATATATATATATATATATATATATATATATATTATATATATATATAATATATATATATATATAATACACACATATATTATAAAATTTTGATTGAGGAAAATACTTATTTCCACATATATAATCTACATATATCCATCATATCTCAACTGAAATTAAACAGTATATAACCTCTACTCTTTTCAGGACAGATTCCCAGGCCCCGCCAAAAGTGTCCCAGGTATACCCCTCACCTTTCAAGGAAGTATCCCCAGGTATACCCTTCACCTTCACAAGTATCCCCCGGCATTCCCTTCACGTTCACAAAGTATCCCCAGGCAATTCCCTTCACGTTCACAAAGTATCCCCAGGTATACCCTTCACGTTCACAAAGTATCCCCAGGTATACCCTTCACGTTCACAAAGTATCCCCAGGTATACCCTTCACGTTCACAAAGTATCCCCAGGTATACCCTTCAATTCACAAAGCATCCCCAGGTATACCCTTTATCTTCAAAAAGTATCCCAGGCATACCCTTCACGTTCACAAAGTATCCCCAGGTATACCCTTCACGTTCACAAGTATCCCCAGGTTACCTTCACCTTCAGAAAGTATCCCAGGTATACCCTTCACGTTCACAAAGTATCCCCAGGTATACCCTTCACGTTCACAAAGTATCCCCAGGTATACCCTTCACGTTCACAAAGCATCCCCAGGTATACCCTTCACGTTCACAAAGTATCCCCAGGTATACCCTTCACGTTCACAAAGTATCCCCAGGTATACCCTTCACGTTCACAAAGTATCCCCAGGTATACCCTTCACCTTCACAAAGTATCCCCAGGTATACCCTTCACGTTCACAAAGTATCCAAACCACTTCCGTTTCACCAAATGTCTCTCAGGTTATAGCCCGTTAAACAAAGTATAGTTACTATTTAATCTTCAAAAAGTGCGAACTTCCGCTAAAATTCCCCGGTATAAACCTTGCCGTTTATCTAAGAAGCTCCAGGATTATGTCAGCTTTACAAGTATCGTATATCAATTCTTTGTTCTCCGGTACCCCTTTATTTAATTAAAAATAATAATAACCTTCACTTCACAAATATCCAGGAAATTGAGTTCACCTTACCCCAGGTAGTTACCGATGAATCACAAACCGATATACTTATTTCAAAAGGCCCCCACGGATTTATCACGTTGTATAAAATTGTTCACAAAGTGATCCAGATAACTTCACCTGCCCCCAGGGTTTTCAAAGTTAGGAATCACCCATTATATTCTTTCGGGAAAGTGTACCCAGGGTCCTTGTTACAGTACCCCAGTATATGGTACGCTCAAAACCCCAGTAATTATTCAGCATAAAAGTATCGGTATACCCTTGACATGTCAGAAAGTACTGGTTCCCCTTAGTATGAAAGTTCAGTATACCCTTCAGCTAAAAGTATAGTAAAACCCTTTAAGTTACAGAAGATCCAGGAATATTCCCCTTGAATAGTTATCCCCGGTATACCCCTTGTTAAATTGTAAACTTGATCCTCACAATATTTTCCAAATAACTAAACTTCAACAAAGTATCCCTTTTACTTTAACGTTCACAAATATAGTTACCTTCAACGTTTAAGTTTTCCAGGGTACCCTTACCTTGTAACTTCCAGGTAGACCCTTCTAAAGTAATAAATACCTTACAAGGGACCCAAAGTAGCATACATTTTGCTAGGAAGGTAATTGTAGATGTCCGTCCCAATAAATTTACTTTTGGCACTCATAGTATATTATATAGTAAAAATGTAGTTACAGAGCGAATGCAGCAAAATCCCGTTAGGCCCTAGGTTTTTCACTCCTGGGCCTTATGTCTGTCAACTTTCGTTACTAATATATTTCGTTCTTTACCGGTACTTGATTTATTAAAAAAAACGGACTACAAATCATCCAGGACAAAATGGTGAGATTCATCCTGGACCGGTCCAAGGTAGGTTGTAGGCCAGGATGAATTACAACAACTGGATATACTGAATTTCGAAGACAGAACAAAGCAACTGGAGTTTAATTATGTTTTTTAAAATTGCTCACAAGCAGTGTCCAGACTAACTTGCTGCCAAGTTTGTCAAAGTTAGGAATCAAAGCCATTATATTACTACGGGAAAGTGAACACGGGTGTTGTAGTACCTACAGTAGATGGTGAAGCCTCAAACACCTTGTATTATACAGCAATAAGAAGTGGAACGGATTCCTTGATCATGTCAAGACTGTCCTAGAATGAACCAGTTCAGAAAGAGAGCTAAAAGATACGTAATGATGAAGCTACAGAAAGGGAGGAGAGTGATTTCTTGTATAGTTATCTTTGGGTGTACCTGTTATTGTAAACTGATCCTCTCTATAATGTTCCTGTAAATAACTAAACTTCATTTTATTCTTACTGTAACTTGTAACTGATTTTCACACAATTGAGTTAGTTGTTTCTAACGTTTAAGGTTATAATCATGACTGATTCTTACTGTAACTTACTGCTAGACTTTAAATAATAAGATATTACAAGGACCCATAATTTGCATATATTTTTAAACTAGGAAGGATAATTGTACTGTTTACCCGTACCTAAAAAAATTTACTTATGACCTACTCACTTATATATACTCACCTATATGTAGTTACAGAGGTCGATTCACAGCTCTTGGTCCACTAGGTTCATTCACTCCTGACTTCTAGTGTCTTGTAACTCTTCTTAAAGCTAAGTATGGATTTCGCCTTTACCATGTCACTTTCCAGATTATTACACTTCCTAACAACCCTAAAGCTGAAGAAATACTTCCTAACATCCCTATGACTCATCTGAGTTTTCAACCTCCAGCTGTGCCCTCTTGTTCCTAATTCTCATCTCTGAGATATTCTGTCCCAATCCACTTTAGTAAATAAGTAAGTTTATTCAGTTACATAGATTATCATACATAGCAGCATATGTGTAGAGAACCTGGGATAACCCAAAAAAATCAGACAGAGTGACTTATTTCCAATGGGGTTCTTTTACCTTATTGTTATAATATAAAGGGGATAATATCTTATTATATTATAAAGGAGATATACTAAGAATGAGGGAAGATTACATGTGTGTTAGCTAAAAAATAAAAAATCATTCTCTTCTCTTTCTGACGCTACATTCACTAGGCACCTTTTGGCTCGCTTCATGAACTGGTTCATGCTATGACTGGCTTTGACATGTGCAGGCAGTCTGTTCCATTCCTTTATTGCTATACAGTAAAAGGTGTTTGAAGCCTGGCCACTGACTGTGGGTGCTACAAAGTTGTGTTCTCTCCCCCTAGTACTATGATTGCTTTGGTTCCCAACCTTGACAAAACTGGCAGCAAGATATTCTGGACACTGTGAGCAATTTTATAAACTTGATTTAACTTCAATTGTTTTACTCTGTCATCAACATTCAACATATCCAATTGTTGTAATTCATCCTGGCCTACATGTTCTCTTGGACCCAGGTCCAGGATGAATCTTACCATTTTGTTCTGGGTGATTTCCAGTCTATCGTACAGTTTTTTTTGCCAAGGCAGAGTACCATGAAGAGCAAGCATAGTCCATATGACATTGTACAAGGGCTAGACATAAGGTCCTGCGAGCCTCAATAGGTAGACACTGTTCTTGTCTGTAGAGGAACTTCAGTCTGGCATTCGCTTTCTTTACTTCACTGTTCCCTAACAATTCTCCTGACATGCATGGGTAAAAGGGGATTCCCAGATATTTTACTGAGGAAACTAAAGTAATGGGTTCCCCATTACACCGGACATTAAAATTATTTGCCCTTCTCAGTTTATGTTTCGTGCAAAAGAGTATGGCTTCAGTTTTCCCGAGGTGTAACGATAGTTTGCTGTCTACTAACCATTTGCTGCAGGACTCCAGTTCCAGTGTTATTACATTAGCTATACCTTGTGGGGTCTTTACCTGACACTAACACAGCACTGCCATCTGCATACAGTAGGAGTTTACACTTGACACTGATGGACATGTCATTAACATAACAAAGGAATTATAAGGGACCCAGAATACTACCTGGGGAACTCCGCATTGCTATCGGCAGGGGTTCTGATTCTGTTTTGTTGATTTGACAATTTGTTTCCGTTGTTAAGATAGGACTTTAAACCAACAACAGAACCTGTGCCGATAGCTTGAAGTTTCTTACATAATTATTGAGGTTGACAGTATCGATGTTCTCATGTAATCCTTCAGGTTAATTAGGGAGGTGTCGGTTGAGTAAGATCCTCTAAATCTGATTGATAACTATGGAGAATGTTGTTGTCAATTAAGGTACTTAACTACTGACAGTATACCGCCCTCTCAAGAATTTTGGATATATACATCTGTGTAATGCTAACAGGCCTATAGATGCTGACATCAGTATTAGTATTTAGTGGTAATGGACAAATTTAT